GATTTTTTCATTTATATAGCAAAAAAAATAAAAATCCCAGTGGTGAATAAATACCACGAAAATAAAGTTTTATTGGTCTCAAAAAATTCACACGGGTACAGTACTGTATGACCGCGCAATTGTCATTCAAAGTGTGATAGCACTGAAAATTGGCCTGGACAGGAAGGAGGTAAAAGTGTTCGGACATGAAGTGGTTAAGAAGCCAGCATGCCTCAAAAGCTATTCAGTAAGATAGTTTCATACTTTCAGTATAGTAGCCTGAAGACAAGGCCTCAAAAACTTCCACTTTATTTAGTTAGCCAGTAAATGTTATCACCCTAAAATTAAACTTCTTCCTATGAATATAAACAGAAATGGATGGGCAGCACCCTTGTATGTTCATCCTGATAGCACAAGAGTTTTAATTAGTTTTACAAATAGTTGCAACTTGTATTAATGAATGCATTTCACCATCAGAATCACTCCATGGGGTCAATTTACTAAAACTGGTGCACTAAGAATCTGGTGCAGCTGTGCATGGTAGACAATCAGCTTCTATTTTTAGCTTGTTTAATTAACCTCCCTAGCAGTCTGATTATATCAGTATTTCTGTGCTCAAAGCGGTACATTGTTTTCAAAGGAAATATGTCGTTTTTTTTATTGTAGGTCTGTAATTCTTAGGAATAACTCACTGAAATCTGTCCAAACAAGAGTCTAGTAAACATCCCGGGTATGATAAAATTTGAAACACGAAATCATAGATAATCATAAAAAATAATAATATAATAATAATACATTTTATTCAATAACGTAATAAAACCAAAAACACTGAAATTTGAAATATAGCACATCACTGAGCTCAGTCGCAGAATCGTTTTCAGTGTCTGATGACGAATTTCCCCACGAATCACTATTGCTCAATTCTGCAAGTGGTTCTGATTTACTATCGCTGTTCTCTAGCTGGTCTAATACCGCTATTGACCTAAAGGGATGCTTTTTGGACGCCATGGACGTTTCTCAGTTTCCAGGCAGAAAGAACAGTAAAAATGCAGGCAGGGCAGAGGACAAAGCACTCAGAACAAAATGTATGTGAAATGGTTTGATACAATAATGTTTTACTATGTGATTTTAGTGTATTATGTGCATGTAAAAGTTTTACATTTTTTAATCTCCCGCAGGTTCCGTCCCCCGTACGTCCCGACGCTCACTGGGAACAGAACCAGGAAGATGGATGCCGGGATCAGACGGAGGACATGGCCAAGCATGCAGCAGGAGGAAAGCGCGGGACCACGGGACAAGGTAAGTGATCCATGGATCCCAGAGCAATGCTGCAGGGTAATCCTGAGTGTAGCTTGGGGTTACCGCTTCTGGTACTGAAACTTAACCCGAGCTACACTCGGGAATACCGCCAGGGGGGTTAAGCTTTGGCAATCAAACCTGGAAGCTGATTGGCTTCTATGCAGAGCTGCACCAGATTTTGCACTTTCCAGCTTTATTAAATAACTCACAATGTGTTCATTTTATTCTGTGAGAATATCTAGGAAATATGTTAGATGTCTTTAAGTCTTCATGCACACTGGATGTTTTTACAGTTGCTGTTTTTGGCTTTTGGTGCTTTTTGCTACTGCTAGTAAACTCCCCAGCATGTTATCCTATGTGTCCATGTACACATAGGTTTTAGTCAGCGTTTTTAGTCAGGGGCCCAGAAATCGTGGGTTTCTACAGGAGTTTTTTAGTTGTAAAAATGCTTTAATGCTGCAAAACGTGGTAAAACACGACAAACATGGTAAAGCGTGGCAAACCAGCGTTTTTGTGCGTTTTTTTGAGGCAAAATTTTATTTTTTTTTGTGTAAAAAAATGCTAAAAAAAAGAAAACGCAAAAAAACGCATCTAAACATTAATGCAAAAAACACTAATAAATGCATGACTTTATACAGCTAATGCTACTGCCGTTTTTGAAAACGCCCAATGTGCACGAGGACTAAATATAAGCACTAGATTAGGTGTAAAAGAATGAAATATAATCACCCACTTTTTATAGATCTACCATTATATTGTTAATGATTAGTTCTTTGTCTTTTGTAGGAATAGAACTATTTATTTTAGTGGTACAACTATAAATCACTTTAAATTTACATTCTATTAGAAATATACAATAAATATTGTATAATAATTTATGAGATGCTTTATATGACAGCTTGTCACCAGCTATAGGTGTGATATAAACGCCATCAAAGAAGACAGAGCCACGAATTGCATAGAGAAAAAAATTAAAGAGGCCAGTTCAGCTCCAATACAAAATAATTAGATGTGTCTGTCCTATCATTGATTTCTAGCAGCACAGACAAGGTACATTAGCTCAGACATTGAAAGCTTGTAATGTGTACTCATGCCAGATGTTCAGAGCTTGCAGAGAACAAGTGTAGATCGCTAACTGGCACCAAATATTGAGGTGTATTGAAAAAGGAAGGAGAACAGCAAAATTCTACAAATATGCCAATTCAAATGTTATATGGCCACATGATATAACTTGTCCTTAGAAATGCTGGCAAAATGTTGATTTTCCTATTGCTATCTTTTAAAGTACATATCCAATTACTATGGGATACACAAGCCTCACAAAGTACAAAAAAAAACATACCTTACCTTCCTTGACTGAGCCTAATCCACTTTTATGTGTGATGCACAATCCCCCCTCTGTTGCTCACAGTGGCAGGATTTTGGAAACAGAGGCAGTGCTGTTGATCCAGAAAGCGGTAAGCAGGGCTATGTGTAGCCATGTGCTGAATGACAAGATAAGGGCTCGTGAATCAGCAGTGCCATGCTGATAGCCATGTCTCTTGTAACATTTTTCATCCAACTGTAGTGCAAGCAAACAGTCTACAAATGAGTGGCAATGCTGCACTGATTTCGGGAGCAGTGCAGCATTGTGGCCATACAATCACAGAAAGCTGCATTAGGTGGACATCTCTGTCAGGCACAATAGGTATTTGTGGGGCTTTGCATAAGACTAAGAGAAAAAGTGTAGATGTATCCATAATTAAAGGAGAAATACAGTCAAAGCTCTTTTGGCTGTACGTCTCCTGTGGATTACAGGAGTGCAGTTCGATCTGCACTCCTGTGACCCATTTTTAGCTGACAGCTGTCGGCTGATGTCGCTCAGCTGTTCCAGGCTGGGAAAAGATCCCTACTTTAAAGTCGGGATCCACCTTAGAGTCTGGTGCGGCATCTGGCTTAATCTCTCAGCGAGCCACTGAGAGCATAAGCCAGCCACTCCCTTCCCCGCCACAGCCCAGAGCTCCCATGAGTGTGGGGGGGGGGGGACAGAGCAGAGAGTGGTGACTGACAGTCATGCTCTCTGCTCAGAGTGGCTGAGAGAACTCAGCGGTCATATGATCACAGTTAGAGCTGGCAGGGGACAGATGCAGCATCAGATTGACACTGCATCCCCCTAGGTAAGTATGATTTGAGGAAAAATCCAAACCCCTACTTCTCTTTTAAGTGCCGCAGCAGATTTTTTTTTAATTGGAAGCATAGTTCTACTGTAAGGGGGGATGTTGTAGAAATATTTCTTTGGGTTTTTTTTCTGTTGCTGGGCTCAGAGACCAGTAAAAATATACTCACCAGATCTATGTGTAGATTTAAGCAACTCCTCCCACCAAGCTCCTTTCTATTGCCTCCATTGAGAACATGAGCTCAATAAAATCCTTCTCCCAGGAGACCATGACTTGATCTGACTTGCCCTCTCTAAGTGCACTCCTAGTGTATAAGAATTGGAGAACTACTACAAGGTAATGTCACACTGGTACTTTACCCCATCAAGGATTGCAAAATCTATCCAGTCATATCCCAGAAGTTGTTTCTGAGGGTGCCTAGATATAGGTAACATATATGGTAGACCTGCTCCATGATTAATCCAATCTTAATGATCAACCTTCAAAAGAAAGGTTGATGGAAATCCCTATTCAACAATTTCCAAGAAGTTAAAAGCTGCATACAGGGCAAATTCATTCTAGTGATATTGACTGCCATATAGAATGATGAATCTGTGGCTTAATTATTTTCAATCCTAACAACACACCACTTGCCTATTCCAAATTTAGGGCCCAAAGTTCATTCCCTGCTGTATTCAAGTCCCTACTCCTTCCACTCATGGGTCCCTCTTTTACCTTTCACAGCCCTGAGTCTCTATCTCTTCCTTTACCTTTCCTCTATTCTCTCCTTTTCATCTTTCCCTTCTTATTTTCCCCTTCTATTTTCTTCCCTTTATTCCTTGCCTTCCCTAGTCAAGTATGCCTTCCAACTTCTCCCCCTGTCTGCATACCAATTATTTTCCTCTTAACCCCCCCCCCCCCCCCCCCCCCCATTTTACTCTTTGATTTTTTTCCCTTTCTTATACTCACAGGTTTGCATGTAGGAATCACATAAGCTTTTCCTGCTTATGTGATTCCTACCTGATAACTTGTAACATAGCCCCATTGTAGAGTAAACATGAATAACAAAATAAACTGTACAATGACAACATGGAAAGATGTAGTCATCGAACAAACCTACTGTATATGCCAACTGGGTCTTCTACAGTTATACGAATCTCTTACAACCTTAACTTTATACACAACTCCATTTCTCAAATGTTAAACTGTATCTATGCCTGAAAGCAATAATTCATATATTGCAGCTTACTAGTCCTTAAATGTGATGGCTGCATTAGTTTTCTTTCTTCAGAATAAGAATATTTTCAGTGCACAAATGCAGTGTCCTTGTCACTTCTTGTACGCCTATAAAGAGCAAAACATCATAATCTTTGTTATGTAAATTACTACTTTCATCAATCCGCCATATAGATGTGATAATGGCAGACATGTTTAACCGCTTGCCCGCTGCCCTATAGTAGAATTACTGTTACAGGGCGGCAGGGCTGTGCAAAATCACGTGTATATATATGTGATTTACATTTCCGGGTAGGGGGCACATGCGTGCGCCACCCTACCCATGCCACCATTGGCGGCTACGGATGTCAATCACCGGGTCTTGGCCGGAGATTACCTCCACCGGCACCCAGAGATTGCTGAGTAACACTGACAGGGGAGAGACTTGTGTGTAAACAACAAGGTCTCTCTCCTGCCTGCAAGAGTATGCTGCTATGTATTTCTCTGTACAGCTGAGAAATACACAGCAGCATGTTTCCCTAGTAAAAAAACACACAGCACATTATGTAAAACAGCACACAGTTAACCCCTTGATCACCCCAGATGTTAACCCCTTCTTGCCCAGTGTCATTAGTTCAGTGTCAGTGATTTTTATTAGCACTGATCACTGTATTAGTGTCCTCCTCGGGATGTCAGTGGCAGTTAGTCAGTTCCCACCCAGTGTCAGAATGCCAGCTGCAGTCCCGCAGTTCTGCTATAAGTCCCTGATCGCCACCATTACTGGTATAAGAAAAATTAAAATTCCAGTATATATACCGCCATTTGTAGACGCTATAACTTTTTTTAGCAAAGACTTATAGCAGAATACATTTTGGCCTAAATTTATGACGTAATTTGATTTTTATTTTTTTTTTACTGGATATGTTTTTATAACAAAAAGTCAAAAATATTGTTTTTTTTTTTCAAAATTCTGTCTGTTTTTGTTTATAGAGCAAAAAATAAAACCCGCACAGGTGATCAAATACCACCAAAAGAAAGCTTTATTTGTGGGAAAAAAAGGACATACATTTTGTTTATGTACAGCGTTGCATGACCGTGCAATTGTCAGGTAAAGTAAAGCAGAGCTGTATCGCAAAAAAATGGCCTGGTCAGGAAGGAGGGTGAATCTTCTGGAGGGCAAGTGGTTAAAGGATAAGTTCACCATTGTAAAAAAAACAAAAAACAAATGCACATTTTTTTTGCAGGTACAAAAATTTCCTTTTTTTTTTATTAGGAGCCTGTAAAGCATTGCATCTGCGATCAACAGATCATGGGTACAATGCAAGGCTCCTGCAGACTGTCAATGTAGCTAACTGTACCTTGTACTGGCAGGCAGTTATTGAATGACAGAAAGCACCAATAAACTATCTAGTGTGCTCATTCAGTACCCTTGTAGTTCATTGAGAACTACAAGCCATCAGCTGCAATGGATGATGGTAGTTGTAGTTCTCCCATTCACAGAATTCTGTGAAAGAATAATGCAGCTGGGTGAATGGAGCCACACATGGCTACTTTGTTTTTTAAATTGTGACAGCAGCCGCAGGGGGAAGATCCCAAGCCCTCTGTCACAACAGGGGGTCTGGGAGGGCTGTTGCATCAGTAACATGTTACATGTCACACCCTGCATATGGGTGTAACATGTAACATGTTAGGAAAGGTGAGCTAATCCTTTAAGTACAGTGGAGAAGAAAAGGGTAGACAGAAAGGGTGGAAAAAGTGTGTTATTTGCAGGATTACCAGGTGAAGTTAAAGGTAAACCACCTGGAAAAAAAAGAAAACTAATGCAGCCATCACATCCACAGACTGGTAAGGTACAATATACTACATGTTATGCTTTCAAATAAATTACAGAATCTGTCCATAAAATCTGACGAGATTCAAAGAAATGTCAGAAAAGAAACAGAGTTTTGATTGCTGACATCTCCATCTGAAAATGTTAGCTGTCAGACTGAGCATCTTGCTTGAATATATCAGATCACTATGACAATCTAAATGTGATTTTTGAGCTTTGCATTAAAACAACTAAATTGCTTGTGCTCAAAAGCAGCAATATTAACTGCTATCTAAAAAGTACTTTATTCTGTATATGAAACATACAAAACACAATAGTAATATGTATTGTTTATTACACATCTGCTTTTTGTTTAGCATACAGCGAGTCACTGACCTGAAAGAAGCTTGCAGCTACTGACTTTTTCCCTGATCTGCTTGTTCCATATCAAAGATTAAAAAAAAAAAAAAAAAAAGATAGTAATTATACTGTGTGTGTATATATATATATATATATAATTATTTTTTTTTTACTTCTACAACTTTTACAACACAACCCTGCAATGCTAAAATTGACCAGAAGGGGAAGTTCCCTCTGGAGTTTAAGTTTAGTCCACATCTCTTAAAATTACTACCTAACACACATTTGGAAGCCGAATACACGTTTTGTGTTGTAAAATGTAGAACTTCAGGGATAAATTAATTAAAACCAGGCACTTGCCATATATTGGAGAAAATAGTATAAGAAAAAAAATCTAAAATGTAAAAAGATATTTTTTTGCGCAGTAATTATGTTAATACAGCACAGCTTGTTCCTAGACTTTTACACTTCAAAAGCCGGAGACTTTCCAAAATGTAATAAATACAAATCCTGCCAGTGAAAAGAAAATGAAAACAGAGGACACTTGCATAATATGGTTTAGATTGCAGATTACAATTCCTTATGTCTGAACTTTTTCTCATACTTTTCAAAACATGTTCTGGTTCCATGTTGGCATGGCTTGTGCATTTTTGTACTATTCATCCTGTGTTTACTATAGTTCTTATTAAATATTTTCTGTGAATTGCAGGAACAGAATGTATTCACTTTTTTTAAGCAATGAATGAAATGTGGCATTAAAAAAACAAACCTCCCTAATTCTGAACCTAGTGGGGTTTTTTTACTTTGACAATAAGCATATGACATGAGTACTAAAGATTAAAGGTAAGTCTCCAAACCAGGGGCGGACTGACAACTCATGGGGCCCCCGGGCAATAGGGGATCATGGGGCCACTGTGTCCTTGCCCAAACTCAAAAAAGCCTAGGAAAAAGGTACCAGGGGCATCTCATGGGGCCCCCTACTGACCCTGGGCCCTCGGGCAGTGCCCGAGTTTCCAAATGGTCAGTCTGCCCCTGCTCCAAACTATTTTAGGTTTACATTGAAATAAGCTATTGGCAAGCCAAGTATTAAAAGTTCAAACATTTTCTCTTACCATAACTGTATCATTTTTGAAATAGTAGGGAGAGATGACTAACCAATGGCCTAAAATTACAATCTGTTGCCTGTATGTCTGTGGAGGTTATCATTTATCCAGGGAATGGCTAATAGCCTGCCATGGTATGGTCATAGCTAGTAGTAGTAGCCATATTCAGTTTGATGTGAAGATGTTTTGCTACTTATCCAAGCAGCGTATTCGGTTCTAATGAGTGTTTTTAATTCATAGCCTCATGAGTAATTGAGTCACCAAATAAATTGTAATGATAAATGTTGATTTTCCAAGAACATAGTGGGAGGTGGAATAGTTTGTCAAGCCTCCATGTTCTAAGTACATTACCCAATCCCCACATGCTGCTACCAGTTTTAAACTTTCTATTTGGGATTTAAAACATTAAATAGTTCTTTGCCCAAACAGTAATGTGTCTCTGCCTCCCAACATTTCAAAATTGGATGATGACAGTCATAACACAGACCGAGAAATACTATACGATAAACATATTAATTGATAACAACAAAGTATTTATTTATTACCTCTTAGAGTACTTTCTCTGACAATGTCTTCAATTCCTTTCTTTCCAGAAGTTCACAGCCATTTTTGTTCAGGTGCCATCCAGGGTCAGCCTCTACTTCCTGAATTTTTTTTTCTGTACACATCTAACTGATGTCATCATTGTATATTTCCTTCAGGCAAAATTTGGGAGATTATTTAAATGCACAATTATTTACTAGATTTTAAGAACTGTGTTTCTACCATATAAGGTGCAGTCTGGATTTGCAACCAGCAAATATGACTTTCCCCATGCATGAATGTATATGTAAGGAGGTCCTTATGGGGGTGTCATTAGTTTCCTTTTAAAATTCTTTATAAGACCTGCCCTCTCTGTGATTGATGGATTTACCTGGTCAAGTGGAAGCACGTCAGTGATGTTACAGTATACTTTTGAAATCTGGAGGGAAGATGGTCCTTGGTCTCTCCTGAGTATTCATTGCCTGTGAAATCATCTTGTAGATGATATCCAGAATTCCTCAATCCAAAGGAGTATGGCACCATTGCCTATGCTCCCTCAGAGGCCATTGAGCATACATTATTTGTAGAGCTCAGACCATAATGAAGAGTCAGTGGTCCTCCATGCTGAATAAGGGGCCTAAATGAAAGTGTTTGTGTGAAAACCTCAATTAGGTTGTTAGACCCACGTTTTGAAATGAAGAATTGTCTGCACAGAATGACATTTCATTAAAAGAAGTTTGAAATTTAATTGCAGTAGAATGAACATTGATAACTCATTATGTAAAAAAGCATTTGGTTTGAAGGTAATGCAAATGTTTCAGCTGGGCAAGAGAATTGCAACAGATATGGAGAGGTTGAGATTGGAGAGAGACCATCAAAGAGCAGCTGAGCTCAGGGAACCAGGAATATAGTGGACCAAATAGGAAGGTCTTCACAACAGTGACTGGGAGTTTTTCCCGAAGAAGTGGCCCATGAGAGAGAGATGGATGGGTTGTCTTTTGCATGGGAGAGGCTTTAGTGAAGCACTGATGAACCTGTGTCCTTGTGATGCTCTGTCCATTGAAAGTTTTAGCAACACTAGTGTTGAAATAATAAATGTAGTAAGATGGTGTCCATGGTGAAGGAAAGTGTATACATTTAAGGTTGGTCTAGGAGTTTGTGAAACCCATATGGGGAGCTACTATATGGTGAGGTGTGCATATGGCAAAAACATCTATAAAAGGATTCCTGCTCTGCCATTGAGTAGATACAACTAGAATAATATTATGTGGCATCACTCTGTGTAGCATTTGGGACTCATCCACCAGCAGAGGAAGAAGGGGGTGCAGACTCACTTGAAAACACCTGGAAATGGGCATGTAGTATTTTTTTTAAATGTCTGTAAATACTATTTTTTTTTACTTACCTGATTCTGATTCTATTCTAACCCTTAAGAGAACCTCCTACCTAACCATTCTATTGAAAACATAACACTTCACATTTAACTTAATAACTGTAATAATTGTTCCAGTAGACAGAGAGAATATTGAAAGGGCTTTAATTTTATAAATACTTTTGAGGTTAGCTGCGCTTACGGAGACTGGATCATTTCAACTTGTTTCCAGCACTGAAATATAACAGCACTAGACTACCAATACTAAAAAGTCATATACCATTTTCTATGTAATCTATTCAAGAGATATTAAAAATACCAGAGGCATAATTGTAGATAAAATATTGGCAAAATCTCATACAGAAGAATGATATTAATTCTGTAAACAATGTTTGTGAGCAAATCATAAAGAGTAGTAGTTATAATTGGGACTCAAGGTATTGGGGTAGTTGCGTCCTATATGCCTCCTGTTTTTTTAACCCAAGTTTTAACGCTATGTGCACTGTAAGAGCAGAGGAAACAGTTAAGGAATGCTGTAAATATTATATCAGTTCATCATCATTTTGGTATCATTCTCCT